ACGTGCACGCACCAGTTTTTTCATAAAAACCAACAATATTAATGTTTTTTTTTTTACCAACGAAAACGCGACGCAAACGCATGCAAACGGTGCGGTTTGGCGGCGGAAGAGCGATCCGCGCGCCGCGGCGCGCGCGCGAGGCAACCGCGCTGGAGAAGTGCTGGAGAAGTGCTGGAGAAGTGCCGGAGAAGTGCTGGAGAAGTGCCGGGGGGAGAAGTGCTGGAGAAGTGCTGGAGAAGTGCTGGAGAAGTGCTGGAGAAGTGCTGGAGAAGTGCGCTGGAGAAGTGCTGGAGAAGTGCTGGAGAAGTGCTGCGGCTGCGCGCGCGCGGATGTCACCGCGCCGACGCGGGCGGACGCGAAACCAGACGAAACGCACCGAAAACACATGAAATTTGCGCGAAATCAACCAAAAAAATGAAAACACACAGGAAAACACCAAAAAAACACAAAAAAAAGCAAAACAGCATCAAACAAAGACAAAAACATCAAAAAAACATCACCCCGTCCACCAACAATAACAAAATTAATAAAAACACACACAAAAACACCAAAAAAACACGAAACGCACGGAAAAAACAAAAAACTACAAAAAAAACACGAAACGCAAGGAAAAAACAAAAAAAACTACAAAAAACAAAAAAAAACACCACGCACACCAGAAAACAAAAAAAACAAAACGCACGAGGAACCACGCGAAAACGCCACAACCAGACCACTAAACGGCGACGCGAACGCCCGCGCAACGCAGAAAAACAAACGCGCAGCAGAACACACAACGAACCGCACGAACCACGACAAAAAAAACAAACAAACACGTACAATCCAAAAAAACCAAAAGAACGCACCCCCCCCCAAACGAATCGGAAAAAAAAAACAACCGCGACGCAAAACAACAACCACAGCACGAAACTACCGAGAAGCAACGACCGACGACCCAGCGCCACGCGCCACGCGCAAGCCAAAATGACGAAGCTGCCGCACGTCGTCTCAAAGTGGTGTAGCCGCCAAGTTGTGGTGATGTAGCCGCGGGTCTCTGCCAGCATACCTGGCGGGGCGGTGCGGGGCGGGGTGGGGGGTGGGCTGAAGAGGCAGATAAACGAAATTAGATAGGACGCGTCGGCACTGCGCATATGTTCGCATGCCACCGACGGAAACAAAGTACACGCAGGCAGGCACCACGACATACGCAGGCCCGCGCCTACATACACCATGGGCGCACACGCACACGCACCCGCACACGCACGCACGCACGCACGCACACACACACATACACGCGTGCACACAAACACACACACACACACACACACACACACGCGTAGACACGCACGCGCACATCTACACACACGCGCACAATCACACACACACACACACGCACACTCACACACGCACGCACGCACGCACGCACGCGCACACGCACACGCACACGCACACGCACACACACACATACAACACACGCACGCATACACGCAGACACGCATACACGCACACGCACACGCACACGCACACGCGCGCACACACATTCACACATTCACGCACACGCACACACACACACACACACACACACACACGCACGCACGCACGCGCACACACGCACACACACACACACGCACGCACGCACACACACACACACACACACACACTTACACGCGCGCGCGCGCACATACAGGTCAAGGCGGACAGGGAAAAAAGCGAATGGATGCTGATGGCGAGGGGGGGGGGGCGAGGAGCAGAGCGTGGGGGGCGCGAGTCTGGCCGTCCTGAGGCCGATGCGGCCGCTACGCCCGACGCCAGCTCACCCCCTGCTCACAGACGCCCCCTCGAATGCACATTGATTCCAGCGGCCCAGCGGGGCAAGGAGGCCGAGGAGGAGGAGGAGACGAGGGCAAGAGAGGCCACGCGTCTGTCTGGACGGCCAGCGAGTGCCAAATAAACGAAACCATAATTCACTCAACATGGTCCCTCTAGGCCCGCAGTGGAGGAGGACACTTGTGCATAGGTGTGTGCACAGTCCGAGAAAGGACGGCGACCCCCGCGCTACAGGCTAGGCAGTTCGAGCGACAACATTCGGTCTCGCACATAATTGTGACACACAACCCGAGAGGGAGGATGACAAGGATGAGGAAGGGGGGGGAAGTCATAACATCATACGCCAGAGGGAAGAGGAGAATGAGGAGGATGAAGGGGGAAGTCAGAAAATCAACCATCACAGGAAGAGCCAGGAAGGGCGTTGGTGGGGAGATGGGGAAAGACGAAAGACGATGGGGAGGATGAGGGAGGGCGATGAGGGCGCCAGAAATCCCGCCAGCGTAGACAAGAGGGAAGAGGGGGCGGATGTGGAGGAGGAGGAGGAGGCCCAAAAAAGGACACGAAATATTGGGACGAGAGTCGGAATGCCACTCACACTGACAGTGCCCCTGACACTCTGGAGAGCCCATGCCCAGGTAACCCATGCTCCAAAAACGACATAGAAAAAACCCGCCCGCGGATCAGGGGACCCCGCACCCCACCCCACTTCTGGCCTGCAACCGCTTCGGCGGAAGAGAGGCGAGATGGCGATTCACAGCGGATGAGAAGCGACACTCCGACCAGGACGCGGACGAGAAACCACATGGCGATTCACAGCGGAGGAGAAACGACACAGCAATTCACATCGAAGGGGACATGGCATGGCGTGTTTCATCCCTCCCTCCACCCCTTGCTCGTCGTCCTCCCCCTCCTCCTCCCCCCTCGTCCTCCCGATCGCCCTCCTGCTCGTGATCCTCATCCTCATCCTCCTCATCCTCCCCCTCCTCATCATCCTCACCCCTCTCATCCTCATCATCCTTCTCCCGCCCTCCTCAGAACTCCCTTGCATGCCCCGAGGACAGCGAGGGGGCCGAAATGCCAGCAAGCAAGAGAGCAGGAGCCAGCGCCAGTGACGATCGCGCCATTGGCGATCACGCTGCACCGGTGGTTCATAATGCCATTGGCGTTGAAACTGTCATTGGCGATAACGCTGCACTGGTAGTCAATGGAGCTCATGGCGGTGAAACTGTCATTGGCCATAACGGCGCACAGGAAGTTTAAGTTAATGATGTCGCCGGCGGTAACGATGCACTGGTAGTCAGTGGAGCTCATGGCGGTGAAACTGTCATTGGCGATAACGGTGCACATGCTGTTTAAGTTAATGCTGTCATCGGCGATAACGTTGCATTGGAGGTTCCAGTGAATGTCGTCCTTGGCGATAACGCTGCACTAAACGTTTAAGTTTAGGCAGGCATCGGCGATAACGCTGCACTGGCGATTCAAGTGAATGTCCACAGACTGTTGCTATGAACGTGTCATTGGCGATAACGTTGCACTGGAGGTGGCGTCAGTGATAATATTGGCGACGCAGTTGCACTGCATGTGTCAAACTAAGTGGTGTCGACGCTGTAATTGGCGACGCTGCTGCACATGATGTTTAAGTTGATGCTGTCATTGGCAATAACGCTGCACATTATGTTTAAGTGAATGATGTCATCGGCTATAACGCTGCACTGGATGTATACGGTAATGCTGTCATCTGCGATAACGCTGCATCGGAGGATTAAGCGAATGTCGTCATTGGCGATAACGCTGCACTGGACGGTTAAGTGAATGGTGTCATTGGCGAAGCCGTTGCACTGGAGGTTCAAAGAGATGGCGTCATTGGCGGTAACGCTCCACAAGCGGCAGTTCTCGATCGCAACCACCTGAGCGCACGGCCGACGGGGGCGACCAGCGAGGCGGAAGGATGCTGGGGGGGTGGAAGACGGGTGGGATAGGGCGACGCGCGAGGAGGGATTGGGACGATTGAGCAGAGCAGTAGGGTTGGAGGAGAAGGCGAAGGATTCAGGACGGGGTCACTGGACCGATGGGTGGGCCAGGAAAGGGAGGGAGGATGCGGAGGAGATGGGAAAGGCAATACGGTTGGGCGAGAGGGCGAGGGAAGGCACCAGAGATCGACGGGCTAGCGTGGGCCAGGGCAAGGGTGCCATCCCTTTCGCTCCGCGCTCCCCGTGCAGGAGCTGGCGGCAGCAAACTGCGGCAATGCAAAGTGCAACGCGCCAGAAACCAGAAAGCATCACTTGTGTTTCTGCCAGCCATTCCCTGGCCCCAAGCAATCCCACGCCACGCCTCGCAGGCCCGACGTGCACGAACTGCAGCGCAGCAAACAATGCAACGCAGCAAAAATGCAACGCATCAGAACGCAACGCCGACCAAACAACCGTTCAACGCTTTCCCGCTACCTGCTCTCGGGCCCCAATCAATCACCATATTTGGGGGGCCGTTCCACGCCGCCCACTGGCCTTCGTATCGCTGGATGGCGCACGGGTTGCACTAGTCGCTGTCGGAGGAGCTGTCGCTGCCGCCGCCGCCGCCGCCGCTGCTGCTGCTGCTGCTGGGAGACCCAGGGGCCCACGCAGCAGCCGCAGCGTGGCGCAACGCGTCCCTGACAGGATGCGGCTCTAATGCTGCCGATTGCCAAGCTGTCGCCGTTTCCTGCGTGACCTCGTCGGTGGGGGGCAATGCGGAATACAGCTGGTCGGAGGTGTAAGTGCCTGGCGGCGGTAGCATCTCAGGTTCGACTTCTTTGTGTTCGGACGCCCTGTGCTGCAGGCCATAACCTGCGATGCACCAATACATGAGGGCCGTGCGCACTTCTTCAAAATTGCCAGCACCAGCTTCCACCGTCCTGCTTTTGGTGCACTGCGTGGAGGGATTGTCCTTTGGGTCCCTGTGGAATTTGCAGGTGGCCTGGAGGCGCAGGGCGCCAGTGCTTCGAGTCATCGAAGTCGTGATCCTGAAAGGGCCAAACGGCCCCGAATCTGGATCCCGCCTGTGCTCACGCCCCTTGCGCCGCTCCCGCGGCCCTGGCGGTGGCGGACTTGGAGGCCCTGGCGGGGCTGCTGGTCCAGATCCAGCGGGCGGCCCTGGCGGTGGTGCGCCTGGTGATGATGGCTTCGGCACTGGCGGGGTCGCTGGCCCATGTCCTGGTGATGATGGCTGTGGCGCTGGCGAGGCTGCTGGTCCAGATCCTGGGGGGGGGGGCCCTGGCGGCGGCGCGCTTGGTGATGATGGCTGCGGCGCTGGCGGGGTTGCCGGCGCAGGTCCTGGCGATGATGGCTGCGGCGATGGCGAGGCTGCTGATCCACGCCCTGGTGGCCCTGACGGTGGCGCGCCTGGTGATGCTGGCTGCGGCATTGGCGAGGCTGCTGGTCCAGATCCTGGGGATGGCCCTGGCGGTGGTGCCCCTGGTGATGATGGCTGCGGCACTGGGGGGGTTGCTGTTCCAGATTCAGCGGTCGGCCCTGGCGGTGGCGCGCCCGGTGATGATGGCTGCGGCATTGGCGAGGCTGCTGGTCCAGATCCTGGGGATGGCCCTGGCGGTGGTGCGCCTGGTGATGATGGCTGCGGCACTGGCGGGGCTGCGGTTCCAGATTCAGCTTGCGGCCCTGGCGGTGGCGCGCCTGGTGATGATGGTTGCTGCATTGGAGGGGCTGCTGGCCCAAGTCCTGGAGACCCTGGCGACGCCTCGGGAGTCGACATCCCCGTTATCGGCGTGCCAGGTTGCTCTGGCGAGCGAGCCCGCGACGGCGTCGCCTCGCCGTCCGCGCCCTCCACTTCGCACTGCTCCTCTGAAGCAGGCGACACCAACGCGCGTGTACACGCGCCCCCGACCCCCGACCCCCCACCCCCCACATGCCCCGGCAGACGCCGCATCGCGTTGCCTAGAACTCATTGGGTCGAAGGGGGTGGGCGTCGGTTGTACGTGCAACGTGCGCTGGTTCACGCCCTGCGCCTCGTCCTCTCCCTCATCGCCGCCAAGGGGCACGTCCTCAGGGGGGCAGGTCGGGCGAGGTTGCGCACTGCGCCCAAAGCCGTGCGAGGCCGCGCGGTACGTCTCACAGTGTTCATCATGCTTCGCTGCGCCCCTACCCTATGAAATTGTGAAACACAAAGTTTCGATGATATTTGTGGGGCTTGACTTGCGAGGATGTCTCGAGCGTGGGCCTCCTCATTATGTGGTCCGCCGTTCACGGTAGGCCTTCGGCCATCTTGAGAATCGTCGCATGGTAAATTGGGAGGGGGCGTCGTAAACAGCATGGTGCCCTCCTCCTCGTCCTCCTCATCCTCCTGATCCTGCAACTCCTCATCCGCCTCCCCCCCCCTCCCCGTCGCAACGGTAAACCCGGCACCACTAAATCAGACGAGTTGCGCCAGGAGTTGCCCAAAAGCCTGGTCCAACTCTGTGACGGGAGGTCTGGGCCAAGTTGTTACCGTGCGTTCTGGATGGGCGTGGATCCACAGTATACACACATGCATGGATACATGCATGCATACCTACATACGACTATAAGCACATGCAAACATACACATACATTCAGACACACAGTCACACACCCATACGTACATACATGCATGCATACATACATACACCTACATCCATAAATACTCACAGACACACGTCAACTACATACATACACATACAGACATACACACGTACACATACAAAACTGCGTGCATGCCTACACACATACATACGTACATGCACACATTCACACATGCATAAACATACGCATGCATGCATACACACATGCATACAGACAACCGTGCACACATACGTACACATATTCACCCTACCTACACACATATATATTCATACCTGCATGCACGCATACATACACGCATACATATGTGCAAACATACACGCATGCAAACATACATGCACACGCATACAAACATACGTACACATACACATACATACGCATATCTATACACGAGCATACATACACGCGTACACAAATGTACACCTACATACATGAATGCGTGTATGCATAGTTGTCCATGTGCATACGCATGTGTAGATACATACGTATACATCTTTATGTATACGTCGGTGTCCCTCTCCCCTTCCCCCCCTTCCCCCCCTCCTCCCTCGCCCTCTCCTCCCCCCCCTCCTCCTACCTTTCCCCCTCTCCCCCCCTGCCTCCTCACCGATAGGCCCCATCATGGGAGAACCTAGTCTGGCTGGCGCCCCCGCGGCCACGCATCGATGCACATCGAATTGCCCAGCATGGCACATCCTTCCCCGCAGGCTCACTCTAGCTCATGCGGGTCTCCCCCGTTCCCGCTCCAATCCTTGCAATATGTGGCGTACTTCAGAGACCATTGTCCCCGCCTCCCTGCCGCCCCTCCTCCTCCCGCTCGCCCCCTCCCCCGCCATTTTTTGATTGCAGGCAACGGCAATGATGCAACGCAAGCAGGCAAACAATGCGCAGCAATGCAACTATGTAGCGCGGGTGAACACTGTGAGACCCTCCGTGGGCCCCGCGCGTTTAGCAACGCCCTTGGTCCTCCAGGGGCAGCAGCGGTGGATCGGTCGCCGCGTCCTCGAGGGCCAGCGCCGCGGGCGCCAACCTGTCGGTGCGAGCCCGCTTCGCTGGCCTCAACAGGCCTCCTGCGTCGTCCTGGATTGCGAGGCGACTCCGAACAGCGCTCCCTGCGAGAACTCTGTAGTCCTTGTCGGGGAGACAATGCTGCACCACATCCCTGCCAGAAAGGAGGAGCCGTAAATACTCAGCTGAGATGGTCTGCCTGGTGGTTCTGTAATACCAGATCTTCTTGGCATCGGCATCCCCAGGATCGCATGGCACAACCTCAGCATGTGCGCCCCGTTTGATGGCGGGCAGCGCCTGGGCCGTCCACCCAGCGGTGCTGGCATCCAAAAGAAGCTCGAACACAGTGCAGTCCTGGGGGGCAGAAAACATGCTCGAAGTCGTTGGGCGCGGGAAGACGGGACACCAACAAACAAAAACAAAGGGGCCCCAACAAGTGGGGTGGAACGCGGTGGGCGGGTGGGCCCCCCGCTGTTCTTTGGGCCCTCCGCGGCTCCTTGTCGCGGATGCCTTCCCTGCGCTTGAGCGCAGGCGACGGTCTGCGAAGTTTTTCGAAGGCGGCTACGTCCTGCAATCCCAATGCACTTATATTCCAACACGCGAACTTCCTGCCCAGCGGGTCTTCCTGATCGGACTGCGTGACCAGGCCATGCCGTTCCAAGACCTCGTAGACGCGCGCCTCTGGTGGATCGTCTTCTGCTGGCGGGTTCAAGACGAGGCCCTGGCCAGATCCAGGAAACGCCCCTGCGACCACAAGGTCTGCGAATGCCTCGGCCGCCAGCCCGCGCATATCTTGCGGGAAGTCAGCGGGCCAGCGCTTCGGCATGTAAAACACTCCTCCCTCTGGCTCCCACTGGAGGAAGTTCTCGTCGAGACGCGGGAGCGCCTCGAGGTGGCACCTGTGCAAGAGCCGCGTGGAGGCAGGGCCCCCGTCGGCGGCCGCGTCCTCTGGGTCCTCCTGCTGCTCTCGTTCCGCGTCCTCGACGCGCGCGCCAGACAGAGCCACGAGCATCTCAATTGACCCATCATCCACCCGCTGGTAACCGAATACGTCGTGGACCGAGATGGCAACATCCTCCCCTGTCAAGTTGCATCCAGGCGGCTTGATAATGTGGCGTCGGTTCGGCGCCTTGTGCACGACCTTGAACACGGTGTGCGCCTGCGGCTCCATGTTTGCTCGGGACAGCGCCTCCTTGGCTGCATCAGAGAGACCATCGTCACGTGCAGTGAGATCTGCAGCGCTGGGAAGCATCAGAGGCGGTTTGAAATCGGCATCCGAGATCGGCAGTAGCAAGGTTGCGCCCCACGTCCTGGTTCCTTTCAACGCCGATTTCACGCGAGGGATTGCAGCGCTCGGAGTGGCAATCGAGTAGAACACATCACGCCGAAGTGTTTTTCTGAAGTGCTGAAGCGCGTAGTTCGATATCAACCTAAGCCCCTTGTGTGTAGACAGAGCAGGCGGTGGCCCTGCAGCATCTATGGGTGGTTTGGGGAAGGCCTTCTTCAAAGTCTCGTGGTGCTTCTGTTGAGTCTGCGGGTCCAAGCGGTACAATACTGATGTTGCTGCGGAAGACTTGACGCGGCCAGTCGCCCCGAACTCGGCAAATGCAGTCGGGTGGGCCACCAGGCCAAACGAGCGAAGCAATTTCTCCGAGGATGTCCTGATGCTGTCAAGGTCGTTGGCCATTCGTTCCAAGAGCGAAGGGTCAGCTTGCACCCGCCGCTTGATGTCTGGAAGTTTGAGATGTACGTTGACAAACGCCCCGCCCGCATTGGGCGCTCTCACTGTTGCCAGCTTGTTCAAACAATGTTTCGCTTCAACACTCCTCTCTGCGACTGGGATCCCGAGCACCATGCCCGCGATCTGCCGCAAGCCTGGCAGAGTCGCGAGAGACGCCCCTCGCTCTGTGAACGCATCAACTTCGTGGCGTAGTGGCGAAGACGGGTCCAGGACGTGCGCGGCCAACGGCCACAGCTTGCTGCGATCGCATTCTGCCGAGCTGCTGTAGTCCCGCAAGCACGACCGCACACCTGAACGCGCCGTCTCTTCGGATGTCCCGAGCCTCTCTATGCTGCCAAGGATGCAGAATCTGTACGGCAATAACTGCCAATGTGCGCATTTGATCTCAATAACCTCTGTGATGGCGGTCCGTGCAGATTCCCAGTCTCTAACGACAAAGTCACGGTCTTCCTGGCTCAACGTCTCACACCGCACCAATAACAGCCCCAAGCACTGGGTGGCCAGGTCCGAAAGGTAAGCATTGCGTCGCCCCGCTGCCAGGTCTGGCGCCCTACGGCCGCGCATCGGGCAGATTGAGTGCCGAAGCCCAATCTCGCCGATGAATGCCGCCCGACGCTGGAAGTACGGCCTTCCTTGCGAGAAGCCGTCTTTGTTGCGAAAGTCGATTTCATGACAAGGGCAGCCTTCCATAAAGTTCTGGAACTCATAAAGGCAACCGTGAGTGGCATATAGTACAGCATGGGCGTATGCCCAAAATTTTGGGTCTTTCGCAGCCTTGGCAGGGGACGGGCGCGCAGCCCGCCCGCATCATGAGGCTACGTGGTCAGGGCGCAAGGGCCTTGGACGCCCATTCCGCCGCTTTCGAGCGGGGGGCGGCCAACGACAGTGACCAAAAATGGGCCGAAAAGGCTAGGATGCAAGGGTGCCGCGGGGCAGGTTGCCCATCCCCACGATGCGGGCCGATTGTGCCACGCAACACTGCAGTGATGGATGGGGCATCGGTGTCAAAGCAAATGTGCAGTTCAGGCCCGTGTCGGGGGTCGCTGTGGTGGCGATTATGTCGCCTGTTGCAGCTTGCGACGCGCGCCCGCAGTGAACGCGTGCGCACGCGCGCAAAATAGTCGGCACGTGCTGGGCCAAAATGGCCAGGGTTATCTTGGACTACGATACGTGGCAAAAAAAGGAGGTGCTGGGGGAGGAGGGGGAAAACCGCGAGAGGATGAGGAACACGGGGAGTTGGAAGGGGCCGAGGACGTGGACGACGCCGAAGAAGGAGGAGGAAGAGGAGGAGGAGGAGGAGGAGGAGGAGGAGGAGGAGGAGGAGGAGGAGGAGGAGGATGAGTACGACGACGAGGGCGGCAGGAAGGTGCAGGTGAGGAGGAGGAGGACTGAGAAGGGAACGGGAAAAGGTGGAGGTAGGTAAAGGAAGGGGGCGTGGCCGCCCTTGCCGCGCCTGTCCCCCTGCACGCCCCCCCTTCCGAGCGGCGGTGCTGGGCGCCGCCCCGCCGCCGGGCTGAACCCCGCCCGTGCGCGCCCCCTGTGGGCGCCACCCCTTTCCAACATCACCTGTTTGACGGCGGGGCCACAGGCGATTTCGGGCGACGGGAAGGGCGGCGGCGGAAGCGAGGGAGGGGGCGCGGAGGCGAGGGAGGCGAAGGAGGGGGAGGGGGGGGGGAGAAGCGAAAGGGAGCGAACGGCGGGAGGGCGACGACGGGCGAACCCGCGAGGGACTTACTGGGGGCCTCTAAGGCGCGCGCGCGCCAGAGACCTTGAAATGTCGCATTCTTGGGGCCCTCTTGAGTCGCTTTTGGGGCCTTCTTGGAGCGTTCTTGGGGCCCTCTTGGGTTGTCTGGGGAGCCTCCTGGGCCGTCTCGGGGCCCTTTTGGGAGCCTTTTCGGCCGTCTTGGAGCGATCTCCGTGGGGAAGCGGAACATGCGGGAATGCACAACTCCTTCAAAAACCAGCGGAACATTTCTGATTTTTGGCTTCTGGGGCCCTTTTGGGGAGCCTCTTGAGGCCCTCATGGAGCGGTTTGGCGGCGTCTTTGGCCGTCTTGAGGCCATATTGGGCGTCTTCGGGGCCTCTTGCGGGCCCAATTTAAAGCCAAACGCCCTCCAAGGAGTAAGAAGAGAGGATGCCCATGGGGGCCCCCGCCGAGGAGGCCTGCGAGGGCCAAAATGGGCCCGTGGGGGCTCGATGAGGGCCCCTGGGACCCCGCGACGGCTATTTCCAGCGGGCGGGGGTCTTCCCGAAACCATCGTGAATATCCAAATATATCCAAATATATCAAATATATCAACTGCGCATATATATATATATATATATATATATATATATTATACGGGACCCTTGCGGGACCCTTGCGGGACCCTCCCTATTTACGTTTTTTTCAAAGAGTATCAAGGAATTTAATTATCGGGCCCTCCTGCGGGACCCTTGCGGGACCCTGTGCTGCATTTATTGCAAAGAATTACTTGAGATATATGCTGCGGGACCCTCCATATTTATTGTTTTTTAAATGTATCAGGGAATTAATTATCGGGCCCTCCTGCGGGACCCTTGCGGGACCCTCTGGGTACGCGGCGCAGCCCTGGCCCTCGCGAGCCCGCGGGCCCAGGAGGCTAGTTGCAGCCTCTATGCAAAATTCTCTAGTTTGGGGCCCTATTGGGCCGACTGGGGGTCCTCGTGAGGGACTCTTAGGCCGTCCTGGGACATCTTAGAAGCCTCTTGGGCCGCTTCGGGCCCCATGGGGGCCCCCCGAGGGGTTTTGGGGGGGCCCCAGGGCTCCCGAGACTGCCCCGGCCCGCTCCCAAACGGGCCACGACAGGCCAAGAGGGCCCAGCGAAACTGTCGCCACGTTCGTGGGCTCCTGGGAGGCCCAACTAAGTGGTCTCATACGCAGACAAAAAGAATGAGGCCTCGCCGTCCCTGGGGGCCGCGAACTGCGAAAATGTCGCTACTTTCGTGGACCCCGGGGAAACCCAACGGAGTGACTTCATACGCGAATTCGAATGAAGCCTGGCCGTCCCTGAAGGCCGTGAACTGCGAAACTGTCGCCACGCTCGTGGGCCCTGGGGAGTCCAGCGGGGTGGCGCGATACGCGAACCAGAAAAATGAGGCCTCGCCGGCCCTGGGGGGCTGCGAAGTGCAAAACTGTCGCCACCTTCGTGGGCTGCTGGCGGGTCCAGCGCAGTGACATGATCCGCCGATCAGAATGAGGCGTCGCCGTCCCTGAAGGCTGCGAACAGCGAAACTGTTGCCACGTCCGGGGCTTCTTGGGAGGCCCAGCGGAGTGGTGTCATATGCAGGCCAGATAGAAACTTCCCCGCCCCCGGTGGCTGCGAACTGCAAAACTGTCGCTGGTTTCGGTGGCGCCTCGGAGGCCCAGCAAAATGGTGCCACACGCAGATCAAAATGAGGCCTCGCCGTCCCTGGGGGCCGCGAACTGCGAAACCGTCGCCATTTTCGTGGGCCCCCGGTGGGTCCAGCGGAGTGGTGCCATTCGCATATCGTCATGAGGCCTCGCCAGCTGTCGCCACTTTCGTGGGCTCCTGGAAACCCAGCGGAATGATGCCACGCCCAGATCAGAATGAGGTCTCGCCGTCCCTGAAGGGGCCGCGAACGGCGAAACTGTCGCCACGTTCGTGTGCCTCTGGGAGGTCCAGCGGAGTGACGTCATACGCAGATCAGAATGAGTCCTCGCTGTCCCTGGGGACTGCGAAATGCGAAGCTGTCGCCATTCTCGTGAGCTTCTGAATGGCCCAGCGGCGTGTCGTCCGACGCGGATTACACTGAGGCCTCGCTGGGACTGGGGCCTGCAGCTGCGAAACTGTCGCCGCTTTCAGGGGCTCCTGGGAGGTCCAGCGGAGTGGTGCCACACGCAGATCAGAACGAGACCTCGCCGTCCCTGCGGGCTGTGAACTGCGAAGCTGACGTCACGTTTGGGAGCTCCTGGGAGGTCCAGCGGAGTGACGTCACCCGCGTATCATAATAAGACCTTGACGTCCCCTGGGGGCTGCGAAATGCGAAACTGTCGCCGTTCTCTTTGGCTTCTGGGTGGCCCAGCGGCGTGACGTCCCACGCGGATCAGAATGAGACCTCGCCGCCCCTGAGGCTTGCGAGCCACGATACTGCAGGTACTTTCGTGGGCTTCTGGCGGGCCCAGCGGCGTGACGATCTCCGCGGATCAGAATGAGACCTCGCCGTCCCTGGGGGCTGCGAGCAGCGGAACTGTCGTCACCTTCGTGGGCTCCTGGGGACCCAGCGGCGTCACGTCTTACGCGAATCAGAATGAGGCCTGGCCGCCACTGGGGGCTGCGAGCTGCGAGCTGCGAAACTGCTCCCGATTCCATTGGCTCCTGCGACATATCATAATGAGACCTCGCTTTCCGTGGGGGCTGTGAGCAGCGAGACGGTCGCCACTTTCGTTGGTTGCTCGCGGATCCAGCGGGGTGGCGTGATACGCGAACCAGAATGAGACCTCGCCGGCCCTGGGGGCTGCGATGCGCAAAACTGTCGCCACTTTCGTGGGCTGCTGGCGGGCCCAGCGCAGTGACATGATCCGCCGATCAGAACAAGGCGTCGCCGTCCCTGAAGGCTGCGAACAGCGAAACTGTTGCCGCGTCCGGGGGCTCCTGGGAGGCCCAGCGGAGTGGTGTCATACGCAAATCAGAATGAGACGTCGCCGTCCCTGGGGGCTACGAACTGCCAAAGTGTCGCTACGTTCGTGGCCCCCTCGCCATCGCCCCTTTGAGATCGTGGTCGCGTTCTTGCCGAAGATATGAGTCGCACGAGTCATGGGGAACGTTTGTCTGCGGCCCCACGTTCTTTGGCGAAGCGTTCAAGGATACTGCGAATCCTTCAAGGTGTAAGTTTGCAATGAGCGGTCCTCGGTATAGTCGCCTCATGTGTACAACGGGTTGGGTGCGTCCCCTGGTCAATTACTTTTGGGGGGTCTTATGGGGCCCCCAGGGAAGCGATCCTCGGGCGTTTCTGGGACCTGTTGGGCCTTGATGGGGGCACCTTGAGCTCGGAGACGGCCCCAGAGCGCGTCAGGAAGGCCAGTATTCGCTTCTCTTCTCTGCAAGCTTCGGGATCGCCAGGAGTGCCTCAGAGCGTCTGGGGAAAGGGCTCTCGGGAGCTTTGTGGGGCTTAGAGTGAGGGCCTCTTGGGAGCCGCTTCGGGCACCTTGTGGCCTCCTGGGGACCTCTTGGGGCGGAGAGCTTGAGATGTCCGTTCGGGTGCCCCCTCTGGGCTCCTTCTTGGGGCCGTCCTGGGGCCCTTCTGGGCCGTCTTGGAAGCCTCTTGGGCCGTCTTGGGACTCTCTGGGGCCATCTTGGGGCCGTCTCGGGGGCCCATTGAGCCGTCTTGGGGCGATGGTGGGGGCCTCTTGGGCCGTCTTGGAGCGTCGGGCAGCCGAAATGGTAAGAACCCAAAGGAACTCCCAACCCCACGGACAAATCTATGTATGTTGCCTCTTGGGGCCCTCTTGGGAGGCCTCTTGGAAGCCTCCTGGGGCGTCTTGGAAGCCGCTTGGGCTGTCTTGGGATCATCTTGGGCGTCTTGGACCGATGTTTGGGCGTCTCGGGGGTCTCTTGGACTTACTTGGGGGCGTTCTGGGGCCGTCTCGAAG